TATTTTAGTTTTATTATTTTATATGTGTGAGTGTATTGCCTGCATTTATGTAAGTGCATCTGTGTTGTGCAATGACTGCAGAGGTCAAAGAAATCATTATGGCCAGTAGTTAACTGCCACGTGGGTGTTGGGACTCAAACCCAGGTTCTCTGCAAGAGCAGTCAGTGCTCTTAACTAGTGAGCCACTGCTTCAGCCTGTGTTTTTTTTTTTTTTTTTTCAGTCCAATCAGTTTGTTAATTTTGATTGCTGATTTAAGGCTCTCTATTTGCATTTAAGATTAACATTTAGCAGGGTTTGCTATTACTGGTGGCTGTTGGATTTTTGTCTTGGACATTCTTCTTATTCCTATCTGGGAAGTAGTAGATGTTTGCTGTCATGGACGTGGTTGAAGGCTCTCAATTATTCTCTGTTCAAATATCTTCTCTTGAAATGTATAGTTTTCTGGGTATTGATGGATTGAAAATTTTTTTTTCTTCTTCCTTTGTGCATAGTATTGAGAATTTTCTACAGCCGTGGCTTATTTGTCATGCCTTGACTCAATTGTGTTTTTCTAGTTCTCCTATTTCTCTATAAAAGTTAATAGAATAATTTTCTGGTTATATCAATCAAAGTTGATTGTTAATTTCTTCCAGGGCTTGAAATACAACATCCCATGATTCTTTGATTTTTATAGGTTGCCAACAACAGATTTGATGTTATTTGTGTGATTTTGCATCTGCTTATATTTCTCTCTTATAGTTTTAGTAATTTAATTTTAGTTTATAATTTGACAATTTGGTTATAAAGCATCATGAAGATGTTTTTATCTGGCTATATCCATGGGGGTTCAAAAATGCCATTTCTCTTTTGATATGCATTTCTTTACATAAGTTTGTGAAATATTCTCCTATTATTTCATTGGAAAAATGAAAATAAAATTGTAGAAATTTTCTAACACATAGATTATTGGGGTTTAGCTCTTGAATATATAGCTGAGTTTTGAAGTTATTTTTAGTTTTTTTAATGTGTCACTGGATGCAGTATTGTCTTAATCTTTTCTTCTGTGTTCATTGTTTTCCATGATTTGTGTGCTGATTATAATTTTTATAGTCTTTTTATATTTAATTAATTGATTATAGCATATTCAGCATTTATGGTTAGCTAATTTTCATCATTCCAAACTCTTTACTGAAATTTTACTCTGTATTTTTAAAGATGTCTTCCTACTTATTTATTCTTTCATTCATGAAAGAGTGGTATAAATTTCATTCTGCTGGGGGTACCTGTGTCATGTTAAGATTTATTTGCCCAAATTTAAATACACAAATAGGTATATTAGACTAAATTATTGAAAAATCTGGACCCTTATTAAATGAAATAGTAAATAATAACAAACTAAAAAATGTGAGAAAAAAGACTGATCTGTAAAATCATATTTTGTCACTGATGTGGTGATGCTGATGGCTTTGCGTGCTCAGTAACTGGCATACCATGGTCAAACACTCTAAATTCGACTAGTAGTCCCAATCAAATTGACAAATGTAAAACACTTGTTATATACACCATGAATTTTATTTCTATACATTTTGTGAAGAGATGATATTAATTGCAATTTCTGATTGATAGAATTTGATAGTGGATCTCTTTATAAACAGCAAGTGTATTATGATTAAATTAAGAATTTGTTTTATTGATATTTATTTATTTATTTATTTATTTATTGTTTATTTTTGAGACAGTTTCTCCATGTAGTCTGAGCAGCCCTGAAACTCACTATGCAGATCAGACTGGTCTTGATCTCACAGATATCCACTTGCCTCTGCCTCTCAAGTTCAGGGATTAAGGATTTGCTTCTTTAATCCATACTTGGATCAGAATTTGTATTTCTTTTTCCTGAGGGAGGAAACTGCCAATGACTGAGAAGGTGGTGATAGTTCTCTATTGTTCTACTCATGATTTAGGTGGATATTTCCTTAAATTTCTTCATATTTCAAATTTTAAATCATGGTAAATGTAACACAAATAGAATATTTGTGAAATCATTGATTTTACATGAATATATTAGGAGCCTATTACACAACTTTCATCTCTGTAGGAGGTAGATAGGCATTTATATATTCAGAAACAATAGAAAGTATACCATTAATCATAAAGGTTAAATATAGCAGAGATCAATTTTTTTTTGAGACAGGGTCTCCCTGTAGCCCCAGCTGTCCTGGAGTCACTATGTAGACCAGGCTGGCCTTGAACTCACAGAGATCTGCCTGCATCTGTCTCCCAAGTGCTGGGATTAAAGGCATGCACCACCATGCAT